TTGTCCAACGAGGACACTGGACACGCCTCGCCTCACCGGAGTTCCTGGAGTGCCGGGCATGCTTTATAGGGCGGCGCGGCATGGCCGGGTTGACCATTGCACCGCAGAAAATCATCATCAACATCAATTCATTAAAATCATTAAGCTACGCACGAAGGGCGGCCAACCAGCTATGCCACGTGACGCAAGTTGGTTGGCCACGGTGAGAAATCTTTTGTTATTTCTTTAGATGAAGGTGTGGATTATTTTTTAAATGTTTTTTTAGATGGAGATGAGGATCTCTGGTATTTTTTAAATGAAGGGTTATGCAAAGTGGCACTCGCTGATAAGCTGTTGTGGATTTTTTTTCTTTTTTACTTTTTTTAAATGAAGGTGAGGACTTTTTTTTAAATGTTTTTCAGACAGAGGCGAAGACCCGAGGACTCTATGTATTTTTTTAAAAAAAAATGTGCGTACAACTTTCTCTCAAGCGGCGCCACCGGGTGCCCCAATCACTAGTCATCATCATAGTATCGCAGTGCAACGATACTAGAGGCATGACGTTGGTAGTGGGGGCAGGTGGATTCGCTGATGCCTGGAAACATATGGGGTGTGTTTGGTTGCCCGGGTCGTTTCAGGCTGCATCGTATCTACGATGCTGGCCGAGTCTGGCCTGCTTGAGCTCATGCAATGAGAAAGTGAGATGTGTGTTTGGTTTGCTTGTATGCCGTGGGACTGGTTGAGTTAAGATTGTGTTTGATAATGCTGTACCAAAAACCGGCGAGTCACTTCCAAAGCACGACCGCGAAGGAATTTGTGAGGCCAAACCGGCACGGGCGCATCTCCAATGCTGGCCGCTGCTCCTGCCAATTGAACACACCGGCGGTCCTCCCCTTCAACGCGGCTCCTGCTGAGAAAACGCACCAGAGGCGTGCTCGTCATCCGGGCGCCGACGAGCGGAGGAGCACGAAAGTCCGACGGAGGGCCTCGAGCGCATACAGGCGGAGGAGCATGGAAGTCCGGCGGCGGGCCTAGAGCACGTACAGGAGCACAGACGGGCGGAGGAGCACCGGCGGCGGCGGCGGTGGCTCGATCTGATCTGATGTGCGAGAAAGAGAAAGAGGAAAGGGAGATAACGGAGGCTGCGGTGGCAATTTCGATGTAATTCCGGAAAACATCAGGGCAATCATATATACCGTTTCGTTTTAAGTGGAGAGGTGGGTGCAGCCGTGCAGGCGCGGGGTTGGCTCCAGGAAACGCTCGATCGCTGCAGGCCTTGTTTTGCATCTATCGGGCCAGGCCGAAGGGGTCACACAGGAAACCAAACACTCTGACTTTTGCATGCGGGATGCCAGCCAGGTGCGGGCCAATCAACCAAACACGCCCATGACGGCCTTCTTGTGCGTGGACCGGCCCGCGTTGGCTCCCTCCTCTCACCACCTTCCTCCCCCGCGTGCGTGACTGCCTGCCTGGTCATAGTGTAACCTTTTGTCAGGCTGATGCAGTAATCCCGAAGCTGGTGTGTTTGGATGTTTGCACGGCAAAGAAACCACGTCGAATTAATTTCAAATACCCCTCAAAAAAAGATTTGATTTCAAAAAAAGCACACATTGAATTTCTCGGTAACCACGCCATTCCTTTTTTTGCGCGACGAACCACGCTCTTGTTCATCTGAACATCTCTCAGAGTATCTAAAATATCACCAGTTCTTCCAAGCGATGTGTAAATTTTGGTGGCCTTGCATTATTATGCACAAATTTGACAGCAACACCGCGTGGACTTTGTAATTCTCCAAAATTAAAGGGCCCTAACTGACTGCTTTGGGAAAACAGGGTCAGACAAAACCTTTCTCAACACATGTTTACCCTTTTAATTTATTTTTTTGGAACCATCACGGCCTGAAAACCAAATAAGTTTAAATAGAGAACTGACACACTTGTAATAGCCCAGGCCATGATCAAGCATAATCGGCCAAGATACAGCTACGAATGAACTGGTTGGCTTTGGCCTGTACCCCAAGCTGCTGCTTTTACGCACTCGCGACACCAGTGGCAGCATGAGGCAAGCAGTGAGCAGCATCACAGTCTCCCCCTAAAATGCCTGAACATCCCTAACCTCCCAGAAGTTGTACACCAGTCATTCACGGTGACAAAACATCTATCTACTTTGCCACAAGAAACAATCACACGTATCCCTAATCTGCGAGCGATGAAAATGGCTTCTCATCCAGTGCGTTTGAACAACAGGTTCTTCAGGCTGGTTCGTACAGACCCAGCACGTGGCCGTCGATGCATCTTAAGGCTGCAACCTGCATAAAAATAAACATGATCTAAGAAGAAACCATGAATGAATACTAGTATCACATATAGATGTTGAGGGATATCTTACTTTTCCATGGATCTCATATTTGATCGGCCCGTCCAACTCGGCTCCCAGAGACATTAGTTTTGTTACTGTGCTGGTTATGTCCGGTACGGTGAAAGACAGCATCGAAGAATAGGCTCTCTGCGTTGCAAGGGTACTGCACATGCATACAAATATTCAAACAAAAGTAGTCACCATATTTGTGCTTGTTAATTGCAAATGGGATGTCATGACATCGCAAGAAAAACTGGTTAAGATGCATAACTTGTAGATTGTACAGCTTCACATTTTGAACATGGCAAACTCCTCTCATAACATAAGTCATATCCATATGATGATCATATTTGAAATCCACAAGAAAAAACTATACAAATTCCAAATCTCCAAGGACAAGAAATGAATTCAGTCATGCATTTTCATAGACTACCCTAGCTATCTCAGAGTCAAAGTAACACAATAACCCGAGAATAAAATACAACATAACCTAGCTTGAATTCAGGACACCAGCAGAATTAGGAGATCACATTTTTTAACTCTTATTTTACTGTTAAAAGGTTCTCTAGTATAAATTAGGCAGATGTACAGTGCATATTCCCTAGAGCATCTCAAATCATCACACTGATGAATGCAGTATAATATGTATGCATCCTTTTCCTTTGCAAAGAGTACTTATATAATGCAGCAAGAAACAGGATACGACTCAGCTAGGTGATATTTTGCTCCAGAATAATGAGCAAACCAGCAACGAAGCAGATGCAGCACTCATGTATGCTTGAGAGCAGTGTTAGTCTGTCAGAGCCACAATGTGCGTTTGACATTTGATACATATTGGATATATGCACACTACCTAGGGTAAGTGACGAAACTAACAAAAAAGAGCCTTCTACAGACCCACTCAAAACGCATGAATTTGTGATGATCATTTGCAGCCTGTAGCAAATAAAGAAACTGAAAGAAGAGGGGAAAAACTTAAGCAACCAGCTTTTTTTATCGTGACTTTAGTACCCAGTTCGTATCCATAGGGAAAGAGTTTCTGATCATGGAGCTCAAATTTCAGGCATGAATCAGTTAGTTTCTGCCTAGGTTTCATCTTTTTGGACAAACCCAATACGCCATAGAATTTCCAGCAGACAAAGGACAGACCCAGTGCATAGAAGCTCCCACACAAGGTGGGGTCTGGGGAGGGATTATAGGAACCTAGTCTTACCCCTGCAAAGTGCAATGCAGAGAGGCTGGTTCGAACCCAGGACCTCTTGGCACAAGTGGGGAGGACTTCACCACTGCGCCAGGCCTGCCCTCTATAGAATTTCCAGCAGACGACTAAAAGAAATACTTGGCACATGGAATTGAACAAACACATTCATGTCATGCCATAGCCCATAGCAAGGATCCCCTCGGGCCTCGTCTACATTCCATCAAACATCTCCACAGTCACATCCACCACAACCCTCAAACCCCTTTGAATACAGTTAGTGTCGAGGAGAAGGCAGTGCAGCTCTGAACCTGTCATTTGTGTGCATGAGCGCTAGCTTGAGCGGCCCTGACTGGAGCTCCGCAAAGCGGAGTGTGCAGACGTTGACACTGAAGTCGAGCCCCTCTGCGTAGAATCGTGCAGCCCGCGGCACGTCCCGGTGCATCTGGATCACCCAGCGCAGCGTTGCCGCCGCCATTCTACAACAGGCGGGGCCAGGAAAATTCTAGAGCCTGGGCAGACCACAAGAGAAAAGAAATTGTCAGGAAGTCCTTCATTTCAACCCTACCAGTGGCTAGTGAAGAATTTTTTTCAAAGGAGGCCACAGGTGGCAATTATCTTGCAGAGCAAAAGAGTGCTTGCTAGCCTTTGTTGTAAGGAGAAGACTAGCAATGAGAAACTTCTCGCTGTGAGGCTATCAGGCTAATAGCAGTGCAGTAATGCAGATTTATACTACTCCGTGTTGGGCGTTACAAGAACTAGCAAATTCATTCAACCAAATAACCCATATCACATCATTGCTACCAAGAACATGATAAAATGAAAACCTCCCCTTTCTCTGAAATCTAACAATTCCAAGATCAACTTCAAATCAACCATCGAGCAACAGATAATCACACAATTAAAAAGTAATGGAATTGGGCAGTAACCAAGCAGCACTAGTAGAGTAGTACTACAACTGAATGGACCGACGATTCCTCAGTCCCTCATCTTACCCTAGCCGGAGTCAGGGGAGAGAGCGGATGCCGAGACCGTCAGAGCGGCCGCGAGCCCGGGCCTCACAGCGGGCACACCTCCCTTCCACGCTCGACGGAGATTGCGGGGGTCGCCGCAGAATGCCCGGCGCGCCGGAACCGCGCCGCCGCTCGCCTGCCCGTCGCCGCCGTCTGACTCGGGTGGGGATCAGGGGAGGAACATCGCGGAATGGCTTGGAGGCTGGGCTGGGAGCATGGGCAATGACTGACACAAAGGGCACCCGCGGCCCAAGAGTTCAGGCCCGGAGCGGCCCAGTTAGACGCCGATAGAGAGAGAGAGAGGGGCTTGGCCCAGGAGATACCACCAGCCGCCTTCGCCCCCTTGCCGACCTCGAGAGCTATCATCCCACGGACCCGCCGCCGCCGCCGTCGAGCACTCGAGCGCAGCGGAGCGGACCGCAGCCGGTGGTAGGGCGTCGAGTCGAGGGAGGATGGGGAAGTCGAAGAGCAAGGGCGCCAAGTTCGCCGCCGTCAAGAAGATCATCAGCAAGAAGACCATCCAGAAGTGAGTCCGCCGTTCCCCTTTACGATTTTTTTTTTGTGGTTTCGTATGCTCGGAGAACCCTGAGATGAGATTTGCGCCGGTTTAGGTACAAGGAAGATGTGCTGGACCCGCGGAAGAAGGACACCGAGAAGGAGAAGCTCGGCCGGAATGTGTGAGTGCCGCCCTGCTCGCGCTTGGATTTTTGGGGTACGTATTTGGGGGTGCTCGTCTTGATCTAACGGTGTGTGCTCGCAGGCCGCAGGTGTCGTCGGCGCTCTTCTTCAGCTACAACATGGCGCTCGGGCCGCCCTACCGGGTCATCGTCGACACCAACTTCATCAATTTCTCCATCCAGAACAAGGTCCGTGCGTCGAGTTGGCCTGCTGTCTTTTGGTTTTAGACACCGGAAGCCCCTGTAACCTCAACTGAATCAAGTCTGTAGTGTTCGCCAGAGCTTGTCTTAGAACTGGCTCGTTTGGACAGCAGACTGTTTCAAGTTTGCATTCAGCAACACTCGAAGCATAGTATGAAGTTTAATTTTCTTATTGACAGGTTGAGCTGTAATGTTACACTGTTATACTGTTATATATGCTAACAGGCATGTGTGCTAGTTCACGTGAAGAGCTAATGTATTCATAATCTCATTTGCTTGTGTCACGTCCTGTGTTCTAGATCCATGCTTCGGTGTGAGAAGCCTCAACTAAAGCTAGAAATTATTACCAGACAACGTGGCTATATTCAGATTAGATTCAGTCCACTAGCCTTGGTCATATGCTTTGCTGATGCTAGTGATGTTGTATTCAAGTAAGACTCGTCTTCATGCATACAAAGCTATCTGTGTCACTGAATGCTTCTTTTCCCCTATGCAGTTGGATTTGGAGAAAGGAATGATGGATTGCCTTTATGCAAAATGTAAGTTTTATAGCACGATTGCTTGCTTTCAGTTATCTTATTTCGATTTGTGCTATCCTTTTGGTTTGTATTGGAACTGCACATCTCTTTCCTGACAAATTCGGCCTTTGTTATGAAGGTACCCCTTGCATCACTGATTGTGTTATGGCTGAGCTTGAAAAGTTAGGACAAAAATATCGTGTGGCTTTGAGGTATATTCATGCCCAATAATTACTGTAATATTTGCCGAGTCATCTCTCTATAATGAGCTACTGCTAACTGCACATATGTGTGATTACTATATGATATTGTTTAATTTTCACTAATACTTGTATTTTTGTAATTCCCTCTGTCACAGAATTGCTAAGGACCCTAGGTTCCAGAGATTAGCGTGCACACACAAGGGAACTTATGCTGATGACTGTATTGTTGAGAGAATTACTCAGGTCATATTCTGCTTCCTTGAATTACCTTTTGTTCTGTTAGAGTGGAGGTTCTGGCATCATTTGTTATGCTTAAAAGATTGAGGATAGTTTATTTTAGCTGGATCCCTGTAGAATCTCCGTAAGGATGACATTTATATCAAGACCATATTCTTTTGGTGTTGCAAACGATTCAACTAAAATCATTTACAGTGACAGTTTGGAAGTTTGGGTTTGTTCGCTCCTTCAAGATCAAAACTGTAATATTTTTATGAAGTTTTCAACAACAATGACATTATTCCCTTTTCGTGAAGGGTTTTTAGTTGATTTACATTCTTTATTTATGTCCATTTGTAGCATCTAATATCTTCCAGGGCGAATGAAAGGGGCTGTTTGGTTAGAGCCAATGCTCGCGCTTTCAACCATGGGCTAGCCAAATAATTGGAAAATGTTTTTGCCACCCATGGACCGCCAAAAAATTGGCAGAGATTTGAACTAGCATGCTGTAGAGGGCTGGGGCGCACCATAATATTGGTAGCCATCCATATGAGTACACAGGGTCTGGGTCAACGCCAACTTTTTGGTAGGGCGTGTGAGGGCATCAATCCAAACAGCCCCAAAATGTCCTGTACAAGCACTCTTTATGGATGCTTCCCTATTGTTTATTTATACCCCTGCATATACCCTGTGCCAATGCAAGTACTGTATCATGGCATGTACTACCTCCATAAAAAAATACACGATTCCTAGAAAGTGTGCTTTCAGAATTCTGTATATCCAACCACTAAATAAAAAGATAGGAGTACTTGAATATTGTTAAGATAGAAATTGCACCATCAGATTTGTAGAATGGCTTCACAGTATAATGTTCTACGCACATACTCATACGAAAATCAACAGTCAGATATCCTTCAATTTGTTTATAACCAATACCTTTTTGATTGCTTTGGATTACATAGTTCATCTTTAGATAGCAATCAATATTTATTTTGCCATGTGGTACCTTTTTTGTTAAACACTGATCTAAAATAATAATTTAAAACCAATGTTTTCTGTAACAGCACAAATGCTACATTGTTGCCACCTGCGATAGAGATTTAAAGAGGAGAATAAGAAAGGTATACTTGCTTCCTTGAAGTTCAGCACCAGGACACCGAAGTTTTGCCCTTATACTGATAACATGTGCATGCTATTGATTGGCAGGTTCCTGGTGTGCCAATCATGTATATCACCCAACACAGGTACTCGATAGAACGACTCCCTGAAGCTACAATTGGTGGAGGTAATATATTTTGCTCTAGTGGTAGTTTCTGTTCATGAAAATGTTCTGTTTATTTTTCTTTGGATGTGGTAAATCCATGACCTAACTCATGCACTGGTATCTTATGCAGCACCAAGAATCTGATTAGCCCTGAGATGGTACCAAACACCATCACACTTGCCCAGGTTCCTTGATTTAGGATGGATACGAGTACTGCCGTGCTGAATCGAACTGATTGTAACCACTTCAAAATTGTGTACCAGCCTCCTCAGGGCGTCGTTTTCATAAATTTTGAAAGAAACTTTAGAAGAAAGTGTATGGTTGTCCTTTGTTCTGAACTGAACTATAGCCAACTTCCCAGCTTGCTTTGTGTTGTTAATGATGCAGAGTCAAGAATATATTTTATGTAATATGTAAGTGTTGTCATATGGTTCAATGCTTTTGCATGCTTCTGGTTCATTGCACTCAGTTGCCAAGCCAACACATGTGCCGCGTGTTGGATTTTGTAAACTATATGTTCTGAAAGGAAATGAGCTCAGTGTACTCGTGGCCTAAGCTTTATAAGCTCATGTATGACTCTCGTAGCGATAACTATAATTGCTCAACTACTGTAGTGATAACTAAGCATTTTTTGCGGGTGTAGTGATAACTAAACATGACAAATAAAAATGGTGGCCACATGGTCTCTGCTCTTGGTCATTGTAGAGAATCATGAACCTTTACTTGGTACTACCTCATTAAGTTACAGAGGTAGTAGGACATTGTACATTCACATCCAACCAAACCGTATTATAAAAGGTGGCATAGGGAGAGCAAGCTTACCCGAATGGAGGAGACAGGAAGCGAGGCAGAGTTTATCACCATGCTCTACACACTGGGATAGTGGCATGCTAGCAAATCATGAGCTTGAGAGGCTTCAGGACTTACGGTTCACCTGGGTGCTAGTTTGTAGTAGCATGATGGGAAATGTTGACTCACATTGGATCCACATAGAATAATTTAGGAGGGTACGTGCTGGGGAATGTGAGATAACAATCTTCCTCAAAAGAACCCGCTTGATGTTGTATAAGTAGAATCATCAAGGGTTGATTTACATTTAATGAGTATTTGTACTTGTCATTGTGTTCTTTCGATGAGCGTGAATACTGCACTGTTTTTTCTTCTCTTGCATATAATGCAGTAATAGGATGCACTGGCCACTTAAGCTTCACAGGCTCGTGCATGTGCAAGAATAACTGTAGACTAAAGTGGCTAGTAGTGATTTTTATTTTATAAAATGTGAAATAGCTGCATCCAACCAACCAAGCCAATTTTGTTGCTTTTGTTTAAGTGGAATCGAAGCGTAGAGATTCTCATCATACGCTGGATTTCAATAGTTGGGAAGTTCTACAAGTTATTTTGGATCGTTGTCAATGTTCCAAGTGATTTTCTGAGAAAGGGGAGTGGCTTTTATTTGCCCTCTGCTTTTCCGATCTATCGTCTGTAATTTTTTATTCTTTGAGCCCAATATAGAAGTAAAAACAAGACGTAATAAAAAAGATTGATGTGGAAAGTTCCGATTGAAATAGGATCTCAACAGGAAGATCACTTGCCATTCACTGGTTATTAGAAGCATCCCAAATGCGTCTGGGGCAGAAGTATGAAAATAAGAGAAGGTAGTGGCGAGACGAGCCGACCAAAATTGGATTTTCCGCAAAAAGTATGGTAGAGCGTGTTATGAGTGTCTACACATTTTTTTTGAGTATCAGTACAGACACAAGTGCTCATATACACTCGCATACACTCACTCCTATGAACGCACACACGCACACCCTACCCCTATGAGCACCTTCGAGAAACTGAGCCGGCATATCATCTTGAGATTTACGAAGTCACTGTAGGCGCCTCGTCGTCGACGGGAACGTCTCCTCCCACTGAAAGCGCATCGCTGGAAATCCTAAAATAAATCCAGGAATACTGCGAGCACCAGGATTTGAACTCTGGTGGGTTGGGGATATCATTGTCCACCTAACCAACTCAACCACAGGTTGGTTCGCGAGTGTCTACACATCTTTATGAGAACATCTCCAACAAAAGCGCGGTCGCGCTAAAAAACTTTTACA